TTTTTTTAACAATAAATTTGTTTGTATTGTGACTAGATGTTTATAATGAACTGTTAATTTCTTCCAGAAGAAACTCAAAACTGCATCAAAACATTTACAGGTGAAACTAAGAACATATGAGGAGTTTCGACAGACTTTGCTTCAAACTGCAAAACATATTAAGGTCAGAATTAAACTATGTTTTCGGGTTATTTGAAAATGTTTATAAGTATATCTAACTTATTTCTCAATGCAGAAGTAGCCATTTCCTGTGAATGTGTAAGATTTCCGATTCATTAGCTGCTATAGGTAAATAACTAAATGGTCTGTAATTCATTTTTCCTCTGTCTTTTATTACATTGTATATTTTTAAAACAGGGACATTAATCTGACTGTACTGCTCAGTAAATAAAAAAATAATAGACTTACAAACCAACATGAAAAAAAAAATTGTGATAAAATTCTGGATCACGATCCTGCCTGAAAAATAAATCAATACGATATGTTTGCCATATTGCCCACCCCTAAATAGAAGTTTTATTCGCACCACAAACCAATGTGTTTATGATTACTATAATAAATAATATTATTGTTAATCATAATAATGTGAAATAGTTTGCAGTATCAGGCAACATAGATAAATTTTGTACAGCTAATTGGAAGGGGTAATTCAAGTTAAAAATGGCTGTACACACACTTGCATTAAAAAATAATGTGGATAGACTGTAGTGTTACCAACTGTAGTGTTGTGTATTTGTCTGAAATGTATTTTGTTTCAGTTTCAGGCTCAGCACACAGAGAGGCAGATTAAGGAGGAGTTTGAGAAACTTCACCAGAGAGTCAATAAGGATAACTAAACTGTGGAAGGAAGAACAGCAGAAGAGTCAGACAGTGAATGAGAATATTGAGAAAACGAACACAGAGATTTCCTCTCTTTCAGACATTATCTGATATCTATCTACATAGAGGAGGAGATGCAAGCTGAAGATGCTTTATTCCTACAGGTATGAAGCATGTGTGTTTACTTACAGCAGATTCAGTATACTGGACACAAATGCAAAAAAAGTTGTTTTTGAAAATGAACTTAAGTTTTGTTGTATAATCTGTATTTTTTTTACAGAACTATGATGCCACTTTGAAAAGGTTTGTATCGTTTCTTCTGTTGTTCTGAACTCAAACCGCAGCATCGCTGACTGCTGAGTGTTTTTCCAGAGTTTCCCAGTGTAAACCGCCGGATCCGGAGAACATTTCTGGAGTTCTGATCAGTGTGCCAAAACACCTGAGCAACCTGATGTTTACTGTGTTACAGAAGATGCAGAAAACTGTTGATTACAGTGAGTAAAGAGCACAACAATGAATTCAGCTCCATCATAAGAGTAATTTGTTTTATTTCATGTTTATGTGTCTCTCTCTTCAGCTTCTGTGACCTTTGACCCCAACACTGCTCATTGTAATCTCATCCTGTCTGATGACCTGACCAGTGTGAGGTACATCGATGAGGAACAGACACTTCCTGATAATCCAGAGCGATTCGACATGTTTGCTTGTTCTGGGCTCAGTGGGTTTTGACTCTGGCTCTCACTGCTGGGACGTTGAAGTCGGAGACAGTACAGGCTGGTTCCTCGGAGTGATGGCTGAATCTGCTCAGAGGAGGAATAAAATATTCTCAAGGAGTGGAATCTGGCTGGTGGCTCATTTCTGTGGTGAATATAAAGCACATGAACCACCACAATCACCAACTCTCCTCCCAGTGAAAGAGTAACTGCAGAGGATCAGAGTTCAGCTGGACTGGGACAGTGGAAAGCTGTCGTTCTCTGACCCTCTTACTGACACACACATACACTCCTTTACACACACTTTCACTGAAAGATTATTTCCATGTTTAGGTGTTGGCTGTAACATTTCTCCTCTGCTCATCTTACCTGTAAATTCCTCAGTAAAAAAAACTCACTGTAGATCAAATTATTAAACATAACACCCAGTTGTCTTCATTTAGTAATCTTTGACTCTGCTGCTGATTATGTTTAGTCATTTATAATAAATAAATAAACATGCTCATTGACCTTTTGATGCTGAGTCTATTAAAAGGCATGTATATATTTAAAGGGATAGATACCCAAAAAGGAAAGTTCTGTCATCATTTACTCACCCTCAAGTTGTTCCAAACCTGTACAAATTTCTTTCTCTTTATTTTTCTAAAATCTTTGTGTTTATATGAAGAAAGAAATCCATAATTGTGCCTATTTATAAGTTACATGTCTCGTTCAGGTTAGGCAATTCAAATTTTACCTCTGGGTTTTTTAAAATGATTTGCGATTGCTCTCACAGCAGTTGTTATTGGCAACTAAAACTATTAATAACCTTAATTATCATTTTTGGTAATTATGCTGAGATAAAATGTCAATTTTATATGAAATCTTAAACTTAAAAAATGAAATTATTAAAAAATAATGAAAATTAGTAATGTTGCCTTGGCAGTTAATTAAAATGTTTATGTACTTAAAGTACTAAAACTAAAAGCAAATAAAATGAGTAAAATTGAAATGAAAACTGTACATGTAAAAGCTCATTTAAAAGATGAATCAATAATATAATTACAATTTTTAATGAAACATTTTAAAACTTGGCAAATTATTTTATTAATTTATTCAATGACTGTGGGAACCCTGAATAATCAACCATTTGAATTACAAATTGTATTTATTTAGCATTTTCAGAATTACTATTACTTTAGCATTTACATAATCACTGATTAAAATGCTAGTTTCAAGCTATTACATGTTACACGTTACACATGTAAGTCCATCTTCTTGGTCTTAATGCCACAAAGATTTCTTCCTCTCTGTCTTTCCATCTCTTTCCACTATCAAACTCACTTCGTCTCAGTGGAGATCTGCAGCAGAGGGGTGCTGATTTCACTGGACTGGTAACTGCTGGTGACTCTAAGCAGGCAGCTGAGGAGCATGTCTTTGGCCTGTGCCGTCTCCATGTTCTGCTCACGGCTCAGCTGGAGAGTCATCTGATCCAGACTGGTCTGCAGTAACTCAGAGGCCATGACGGGCCTGGTCACCACGGGTCCCTCAGTCAGGTACTGCTTGTACAGCTCCAAAAGCTTCTGTTCCAGGTAGCCATTGAGCTGTGAGTTAGAGAGGGGCTGGCTGAACTGCAGAAGAGAGGGACGCTCGCGCCCGCTTTCTTCCCTCCAGCGCCTCGAACTCCTGTATTCGTGGACCAGAGGAGGCAGGAGGGAGGGGGAGGGAACATCTCCAGACAGGAGGAAGGGCCCAGGCTGGGGGTCTTGAATGAGATTGCCCTGTACATCCCCTGCGCAGGGGCTGAGCGGCAGCACCTGGCCACCAGCAATATGTAAATCGCTGTAATGCTGGCAGATGCTGTGGCAGCATGAAGGCACCAAAAAGGCCTCTGCTTCTGGGGCGTCTGCAAGCCTGGGAATATCCACACCTATGGCCAGTTGCCGTCCTGCCTCAGGGTCCGTGGGGGAAGGATGAGCATCGCTCTGCTGGGTCTTGGTCCGGGTTGTATTTTCTAGAGATGAGTGGACGGAGCTTTGTGCTGAGAGGGGGCAACTTGGCAAAGACGATGATGGCACTGTGACCGTGCAGCATGTTGGGGGATTTACACACTCACGTTCAGCTTCAAACACCAAACTCCACAGCTTACCTTCACACAACATCTACAGTACACAAACACAGAAGATAAATCGGTTCACACTGAACTCGGATGACCTAGCATTCAACAGTTTAAGGTCAGAAAAGAAAGAAAGAAATACTTTGTGCAAGGATGCATAATATTCATCAAAAGTGACAGTAAAGACTTTACAGAAATAACATTACAGAAATTTCTATTTCAAATAAATGTTCTTTAGAATCCGGGAAAAATGCATCACAGTTTCCACACAAAATAATGAGCAGGAAAAAATTTTCTTCAGAATTTTAGAATGATTTCTGAAGGATGGTGTGAAGTCTGGAGTAATGGATGCTGAAAATTCAGCTTTGCCATCACAGTAATTAAAATAATTATTATGAATTGTAATAATATTTATAATAATATAAAACTGTATTTAAAGATAAACTACACACTTGGTGGGCCACATGAAATCACAAGGCTGTATGTGGCCCATGGGCAAAAATAGCATTGCTTAGTCCATCTCACATTACCCCAAGAATATAAAGTTAAAGTAATCTAAGACATTTTTGCATCTTTCACAATTTACTGTGATTGTCATTACCCAATACTTCAGACCAATTAAGAAGACTAGAATCCAGCTAGAATGTGGAAGACAAAAGGAGGATTACGGTACATAGATAGACAGACAGTTCCCAAAAGCTTACCTTTTTTTCTACTCAAGAATTTCTGATTGTTGACTTGTGGTGGTTCTGTGCAGTTCCGTCTCTTTCTCTGAGTCTCCGCCGTTTTTAAGCACTGCTGTAGTGGGTTTTTTTTCACTGTAAGTAGTTATGCTATAGTTGTTCAGTTTTATGCTCCACTGAGGGAGGAAGTGAAAGTATTATGAAATTCTGTCTTCCATGTAAATTTGGAACCATATTTATGTGCATTTATAAATGCCTGTTCTCATGATCCAAGCTTGTTATATTCATTACAATAGACTTAAATGAGCTGTTCAATTTGTGTAATGTGCTATTATCCATCAACAGGTTAAGAGTATTTCCACACACCTCAGACCAGCACACCTCCTTTGCTGTTTCCCCTAGATTTCCTGTTTTTGTAAGAGGAGGTCGTTAGTCATTTCCATAATGGAGTGTCTTTAAGTATATAAAACATAAAAGCTATTGTGGTGAATAAAAGGACTGTCTGTGCTAATAGGAGATGGACCATGGTCCTGTTCCGGGTATTGATTGGCACATTGTTGTATTCTGTAATTCTTTTTCTCTCTCACGCTAATTCAAGCAGCTGTTATATTTGGCAGTTTCATTAGAATGAAAAATGTCTCTATAAACCGCATATTTCCTCTAATACCAACATTTGCACCTGCAGCTATTCGGAATCTTATGTAACAGTGAGTCTTTATTTCCCCAATGGAACCAAATAATCCAATTCCAATGTAATTTAAACCACTGACATGTAGATTGAACACACGTGTAGCGCCGGTTAATCAGCTAAAGGGTTGGTGACAAAATGCTGCATCACCTACATTCATTATTCATGTGATGATCTGTCTATCTTAGGTAAAAATAAAGATTACCTGATGAAGCAACAAGTGAACAAGCACATATACACGCACATTATGCTTTCTCACAATGTTCTCATAATATGCACAAGAAGAATGTATATACTATTTTTTAAGAGTAATGTCTATGAAAATAATCAGTACTTATTTAGACAGACAAAAATTCAGATCACAAAACCAGTCAAATTGTCTGATGTTTTAATGTATACAACAACCTGTGGAGAGTGTCATGCCACTTTAATTTTAATTTTTTTTTTGCATGCCGGTTCATTATTGTGCTTTTATCTCAAATAACCCACCCAAAAAAGCATTTAATTCAAAGGGTCAGAGAGAGGGTTAATGTATATATATATATATAGAGAGAGAGAGAGAGAGTAAATTATTGTAAATGAATAAAAACAAGAAAATAAGATTGCTCACTTGAAGCAACAAAGACAGTTTGCATTTGAGGATCCTTAGATCCTTCAATACACACAAGGAATAAACTCCCTTAATGGTGACCACACGGCTCCCAGAGTCCACCCAATACCCCACCAGAAACTTTAGCCGTCCCATCGTAGTGCCTCTAGCTCAAGTGTCTGACTCATTTGTTTAATATGAATAGATCTGTACTCAACTTTGTTTTTATCATCCTGAGACCCAGCAATTTATTACTTTTAAGTTCTGATAATATATCTGAGACATAATTTATAATCATAATTGAGCAAATACATGGTAGTACTGTCATTTTTATTATTTTATTTTTTGTAGTAACAGGAAAAACAATAAAGTTCTTCTGTAATATGTTTCCAACATACCATGGTGTTAAACCTAAAAGCACCACAGAACATAACACTTACTGTTCATTTCAATGTATTAAAATGTATTAACTTATGATGGTTTTAAATTAGTAACAACTATTGTTGATTTTTTTATAGGCCTATTATTTTCACATTTAGCTTGTTATTTTTAAAAATAAGTTTATATGAAGTTGTTAAATGTTTCCAAATGTGGGTTAAACACAAGTCTGTTTTCCATCTTTAAACTATATATTCAGTTACATATAGTAAATGTTAAATAATGTTCAGAATTATAGGCTATTTAGCAAGAAAGTAAATAGGACATAATAGCGAACTGTAATTTAGGAGATCTTTTATCCAAGGCGATTTATGGTTTACCTGAAGCATCCTGAAGGTGCACACATATTCTGATTAAATCATTTTTATGCATACGAATCTGCATATAATGTTATGTAACATATGCATCATATGTCTAACTGGGATAGTCAGCAGATGCATGTAGCCTAATATATCTAATGTTGGTTCATTATTCATGTGTTAGTGTAGAGTTACAAGCGCACCGTCGCCATGGCTGCGTTAGAAACTTACCATGACTTCTTTCATACAGATAAGAAATGATCATCGCCTATAATATGTCCTTAAAGAGTTTGGCTCAAAAACAGCTGTTCAGCACCATGGACAAAATCAACCAACAAAACTCCATCTTGGCTCTGGATTTCATCAACATATAAAGTAAGTTTTCGCGCGTGGAGCAACGCGGAGAGGGATATGGAGAAGCAGAACAGGCTCACCTATAAAAGTTATTATATAGATTCAAAGGTTACTAAACAAGCTAAGTAATCTATTTGACGTTTTTAACGCTTTTCTTAATGACTTACGATATCAAGTGTCTTGATCAAGGACAAAATGGTGATAGAACCCTCGTGGGGTTTGAAACATCCTTTCATATATCAGCCCAGATATTTAACCACTAAACTACAACACCCAG